GAAATGACACGAAGAACTATGGACAACTTCCGGGAAAGGCTTCGTCAATGTGTGAACAATGGAGGACGCCATTTACCGGAAATAATTTTTAAAACCAAGTAATGTAAAATAGCATCGTATTTGTTGTTCACAAATAAAAGTATTTTTTCTGTATCTTTCTTTGTTTGTTTGTAACGGCCTTTTGAAATACGGGAGGTCGATTTGCCGGACCCTGTAGTAGTATAGTTTCAGTCAGAAGAGAAATGTTTGTTAGTCTGGGAAAAGTTACATTGTTAGAACGCAAAAAAAAAAAAAAATCGAACAGAAACACGGGCAAATATCTGCAGCTCGCCGATTTGCCATGATAGCCTTGAACCATCTTTCTCATTGTGTCAAAGTTGCTAATCTATGAACTCGAAAGTCACAGTTCAGATTCCGGAATATCAGTCGACCTTTTGTTCAGAAAATACGCTTTAAGTCGTTATAATTTAAATGTATGAAGTGCCTGCCACGAATGTAAATCCCTGCTCTCCGTCTTTTCGCGCCCATTTACAGTAAACTGTAAGTGTTGAGTTAGCTTTCTATGGCGCATGTCACAATCCTGGCACATCTTGTACCTCAGACGTAGCGTTGCATGTTTATTTTGGTGCAGCCAGGAAGAATACGTAAGAGCCTCTTACATGCAGAACAACAGTTGAATGTCTAATAATACCAAGCTTGACTGACACATGTCCCAACAACAAAGCAATTATTTTATACCCAGGTTCAGGTTCAGGTTCAAAGAGTCAGGGAAGGCGAATGTAGAGCGATATGGTTTCATGATTCTTAATTTCTCAGTAACTCTTCAAGTGGTGGCCGCGCTATAGCTCAAGCAGTTAGTCGCTGGCTTCCCACCGAGGCAGCCCGGGTTCGATCCCGGGTCTGCTCAAGTGGGATTTGTGGTGGACAAAGAGGCGCTGGGGCGAGTTTTCTCCGAGTACTTCGGTTTCCCCTGCCAATCTTCATTCCACCAAATTCTTCATCATCATAATCACCCGGGTCAGGTATAATAGGCCAATCAGTGGCCTCCGTGCCGAGTGGACCCAGTTGGACTCCACCCCCCACTAAACGAATTTAAAACAAAAGAACCTCGGAGAAATAGCTTTACAGCCCTTGTGAACTTTGGCCTCCTCTTCAGTTTCTTAATCTGTGCACAGTTGGTAAGACTCCTTGGACGAGGGATCAGGCCGACGCAAGGCCTCTACTTATACACAGAACAACACAAGCACAGAATAAACGCACACAGACATCCATACCTCGAGTGGGTTTTGAACCTCCGACCCCAGTCTTCAAGCGGGCAAAGATAGTTCATGCCTTAGGGCGGCCGCACACCAGCTGCATCAAGACAAGCATCAAGACATGAGACAAAAGACTAAGTCTTGCTTCATTCGTGATTCGTCAGCATGAAGCTGACGTCAGCATCATGACTCAGACTTGTGTGTGGCAGTTTTCGTGATCTCATTCGTTTAATTCCCTAAAAAAATTTTTGCAGGTGGGCTCTTTTTATTCCTTACATGAGTATTATGAATGGAAATCAAGGAATGATTGTGCTTCCTATAGATAAAGATTGCGCCTATTATTTATCACATCTAGAATATAATATTATCTGTCTTTTTGTTTATAATTGTTGTGAATGGCACCTGATTTTTGACGTTGTTTGTTTCGGTGTCATGTCTGTGATTTGGTTTGATGTGTTACTTGTTTGTGTTCTACAACTGTTAATGTACTACAAGCATATGTGGNTCAGCATGAAGCTGACGTCAGCATCATGACTCAGACTTGTGTGTGGCAGTTTTCATGATCTCATTCGTTTAAACTGTGCTCCTTTCTTTGCGTGAAGACGCAGACATCGTATTTTGATTGTCTTGACGCATGCCGGTGTGTGGCTTACCTTAGACCGCGCGGCCAGTGTGATCAGTACCTCGGACTGTGTAGCATTGAATTATTTGATGATCAGTGAATAATGAATTGCAAATGATGTGGAAAGTTGGGGTCTCAGCATAATTTGAAATACTTGTAGATCTCTGGAACGAAATAAATATGTATGTATGTATGTAACTGTGCTCCTTTCTTTGCGTCAAGACGCAGATTGATTTTGATTGTCTTGACGCATGCCGGTGTGTGGCTTACCTTAGACGGCGCGGTCAGTGTGATCAGTACCTCGGACTGTGTAGCATTGAACTATTTGATGATCAGTGAATAATGAATTGCAAATGATGTGGAAAGTTGGGGTCTCAGCATAATTTGAAATACTCTCCCTGCATTTGCATGGAGAGACTGAGGAAAACCACGAAAAATATTACTCAAGATAGCCGGTCTCAGATTCAAGGTAAAATTTACAGAATACTTGTATGATATAGGCCTACGAGGTAATTAGGTCTATTATTATATGCGAGGAAGTAGCATTGTTGCGGAACTTTTAGAAAAAATATTAATTCAAATCCAGTATCAGATGTGTTTTCGCATACATACACAAATAAATATATTACGTAATGTAGGCTTATATGAAAACTTATGTGTCAGAAAATAATAATAATATGCAGTGGGAGGAAACAAAAAATTACGCAATAGCCGTAGACTGGGAACAATAAAGATTGAGGAATTGTTGTACTTGTACGCAAAATTGGTTGTTGCAGAAGCCTAGTTGAGTACAAGTAGTTTATTAAGATAATTATCGCCAGAAAACTTTCGTTCTTTCGGAGCTTTCTGTCCATTTTGAAATTATTTCCAACGTTTATCTGACAGAACTCTGCAAAATTTGAGCTGATAGGTAAGGTAAAATTGTCCCTGTGCTGAACTAATTAAGCACTACGTCATGTAGGCGTATGGGGGAGTGCATGTATACATCCATATTTTCTTGACATCGGTACTAGCTGGAGGTGAGTGGTCAGCTTCACGCCCCGGCCGCTTAACCCCCGGGGAAAGAATCTCTGGTATTCTTTGGATAGGAGGTTGGGTGGACCCCGGAGCCGGTCTGGACGACGTGGAAAGGAGAAAATTCCTGACCCAATCTTGACTCAAACTCCGACCTCTCGGTCGTCCATCCCGTAGCCAGTCGCTATACCAACTATGCTCTCCGGGCCCCCTTGAGTTGACAAGCTCGAGATAAAAGTCCTAAGAGCAAAGGATTAATGATAATTGTTTTGAAGATACGCACAATTGCTTCTTTTTCAAAGGTGAAATACTTCTATTTACTTTAATGCGCTATTTGGTACATGACTTAGATATACGTAGGGAAAAGGACTAGGCAGAAGAACAAATGTAATGCTGTATTAAACCTCTGTACTAGCCCTCTCCAATGTTGAAGTGAACAACTGTATGCTTTGTTGGTTGCAGCATGGCGTGGGCGTAGAGTTTGTGCGAGTGCTACCCGAAACGCACGCTCCATATCTCACCAATGTCTTCTCCGAATGTGCCCCGAACGACGACGTGGTAAGTAACCCATATAATTATCACTGGAATATGATACTACACTCACGCTCCCACCCACCTTTACATTTCTTCGCCATGTTGAGTACGGAAATGTAGGTAACATACTTCGTTTGCTCATCGAAGAGAGAAAGACGACTTTAAAGTCCCCCAGTGTCTAAACCACACACCATGATCCTGTATAGGACTGTGGTAGTAAATACTGTGACATGATTCCATGGTCCGTTGAGAGGCAACAGATAAATAAAGAAGCGTCTCAGCAAAAGATACGCACGCAAAAATAGAAGAAATGTTGGAGACGGTGTTTTCTATGCGGTTCGTGCCGAGGCTATATAGCGAAGACGAATGAGACTGGCGAAGGCACTACCGTGTGTAGGCGGGGTATAATACCTTCACCGTAACCCTGCGAGTCGTAGGAGGCGACGAAATGAGAAGTCTCGAACCTGAAACAGTAAAGTATGGTCGCGAGTTCCAAGGCACTCGGACTTGAGAATGACTTCGCTGGCGAGAACCATCAGAAAGTGTAAGCGACATACCCGTCCTGTCGTCAGAGAGGGCACCCCACAAGACACCGGCAGCTGTATGACAGTAATAAAAATTGGTCTTGGGCCCAAAATGGATAATTGACACCAAAACTGGCAGATTGAGCTTCGCTTCTAACATAACTTTGACTATGACTTTGTCTCTGGCCAAGGTCAGCAGTAATGCGACCGACCGACCGACTGACCGACTGACTTAGCCAGTCAGTAGTTGAGATTCGACTGTTTGAGCTCCGAGTTGCCTGTGAGACAGTCGTCAGCCGGTAAGGACGTGAACACGGAAGCTGAGGAATCTACATTTTTGAGAGCCGTAACTTAGCAACGGCTAGTGGAGACAAATTGAGAAGACTTAGTATGTGATTTAGTGATAATTGGAGTGCATAAATAAACGAGAGCGTTATAATTACTTATAGTTACAAGCCATAAGTGTCCAATAAATGCAATTACCAATCCAGTCGCATTGTCTAGTCACTAACACGCGAAAGTATCTATGCGTTTAGGCGTAGATGCTAGAGGTAGCTGAGTAGTCATATCGACTTTTCGGACTGTATGCACCAATGAAGGTAAACATGTAGAGTTTTCCCCGTGTTTAATTAATTAAGCACCGCACCATGAAGATGTATGGGATAGTGAAGATATAACTTTACCATTCTTGACCTTGGCTTTAAATGGCCGCTTTATCCCTTGGTAAAGAGCTCTCGTTACTCGTAGGATAGGAAGGTGGTTGAGCCCCAGAATCGGTTTGGACGCTGAGGAAGATAAACATTTCTTTCACCTGCAGGTAATCGAACCTCGGCTGTCCAGTATGTACCCGTCGCTAGGCCAGTCTAGCTACCCCGGCTACATAGCCCACAGTATCCCGTAGATTGGTGGTCTGGCTCAAGAACTAGTCTGGAAGTTGTATGCGAAAAGAAGAACTTTGCCCCTGCTGGGGTCGAACCCTTGGACGGTATTTGTTATTGACTAAACTATTCCAGTCCATGAAGGAATTAGTACAAAAGTGATAAGAATGAAGTAATTAAGTGTGCATGGGAAAACAAACGAATTAAGGACGAATGGTAAATTTCTTGCTTTATTTTAAATTTTTGTGTGTCCTTAAGATGTAGGAGATATGTTCCTGCGAAACGTGGGTTGAGTTTCACCAACCTAAGCGGCGTTATATCCTACAAGATTGAACGCTTTCTGGCAACCGTTGTGGGAACCTCAGATTCAACTGATGTATGTTGTTTGATCACGTGTATGAGGGGTTGGCGTGACGAATAATAAGGGGTTCTAGATACTGTGATTGGGTTTACTGGCGCTTCTTTACAATTAGAGTTGATTATAACAGCTCACACATTGAACTCTTTAACAACGTCTGTCTGACGAATTTCTATCAGGAGTTTCTCATTGTTGTCTGATTTTTGGACTGGTGTTAGTCTCTCGAATTCTGGATCTCTGCTCCGAGTCGAGTTGAGTCGAGTCTTATGTTACGACCGACGGTCAGTCGGCCAGTCTGTCTTGGAATAAAGCACCCACCTGAGGTTTACGGCCAGATTTTTATTACTGTCAGACAGTTGCGGGGTTGTTGGTGTGGGGCGCTCTCTCTGACGAGAGGACGGGTCTGTCGTTTACAATTACTGCTGTCATTCTCGGGTCCGAGTTCCGTGGGACTAAAACTAAACTGAACTCCATGGCTTGAGTCCGCAAGTGAACTATACCGACCGAGCGACCGCCGCTTGTCGGCGAAGTTAGTGTCAACTTCAGCGGGTAGAAGGTGTCGCGTGGCCAGCGCAACGAATCCCCACGGCCGTTATTTTTTAGTTTTCCAGACCGGAGCCTCCATTTCCTTGAAATAGCTACTCAGTTTTCTTCACGAGGCTGAGTGGACCCCGTTCCAGACCCACTACGACTAGCGACCATATTTTACTGTCTCAGATTCGAGACTTCCCTTGTCGCCTCCTATGACTTGCAGGGCTACGGTGGAGGTATTCGACCCTGCCTCCACGAGGAATTAGTAATATACATTATTTGTATAAGTTATAGGCCCTGCATATGGAATTATTACTCTTGTGTCACTTTTCCTGTTTGATCACAATGAACATGGATCTCTGCTCCCTGGAATTCTACTACTCTTATAACTGCCGAATAGAAGGCCCGAATAGAATACACCCAGTCGAACAGTTAATTGTCCTCTGTTGTCCTGTCGGTTGTCACGGGAATCTTGTGTTTAGCAACTTGTCAACTGGTGGCGACTCTTTCGTTATTATCTGTTGTAACGGAAACTAGTGTTTACTTAGCCGTTGCTTATCAACTGACGTCTCGCTCTGGCTCCACCATTCCGGCTTTCAGCCGTCATATCATAATATTAAATAGAGCGTTCATGAAGTTCCTCTAAACAAGTACCTTTCATGAAAATAGCGACAGCTGACGACAAAGAGACTTGTTGGCAAATCCGCCTATAGGAAGAATTGATATTACCTGCAACCAACGCGGGCTTCACTTTGTCGCTGGATTGTGTTACTGCGCTCACACAGCACCAGCACGATTCTATTATAATGGTATACAAGCAGCAAGCTATAGGAAAGGGAATGGAGATTAGAAATTGACTAAAGTCATTCTTTCGAATATAATTTTCTGGTTTAATGTATCCTAATCAGTTGGTAGATAATAAGCTGCGACACCGGAAGGCATTATCGCTTCCCCCCAAGGTCAACTGCTCAACAATACCCTTTTTTTTTTCCTTGGCACTCCAGCCGCAGTGGGCCTAGGCCTACCTCCATGAACTTCTCCGTTCACTTTCGGTTTTTCTAGATCTTACACTTTCGGTAGGACTCCTTGAGCCGGTGATCAGCTCGTCCCAAGGCCTCTACCTGTACACAAACACAGAAAAACGCACACACACAAACTAAACATCCATGCCCTGAGTTGGATTCGAACCCACGATCCCGGTTTCCAAGCGAGCGAAGACAGTACATACCTTAGACCGCTCGGCTACCGTGACCGGAGCTCAGCAGTACCTAGAGTCAATTAATTCAGTTCATGTATCGTATTCGCAATTTATTTCCATAAGCTATGTCATCAAACGAGACCTAAGTCTACGTCTAGAAATTTATTTCTAAGGAGTTTCGCAACTTCACAGTAGCCGCGCGGTCTAAGGCATGAAATGTCTTCGCTCGTTCAAATATTGGGCTCGTGGTTTCGAATCCCTGCCTGTCCGCATTTCTTCTGTGTTTGTGTTGTTCTGTGTAGTTAGCGGCCTTTCGACAGGTTCATCACCCGTCCAAAGAGGCCTAACAACTGTTTATAATCTGCATATTCTCAGGTTGATTCTGAATGAGAACAAACCCGAGGGCCTAATAAGAAGGTAGAAGAAGTTTCATAACAAAAATTTTATGTAGAACATATGTTTCGCATGACAAGTTCGTAACCGTCTAGATCCTATGGGTGAAGGCTTGTTAGTCTCACACTTTTCCTCCGGAATGATGCCATTACCCACTGTCGGCTGTCAGAGACTGCAATTTAACATATTCATAGACTCCCTCCATATTTGAAGCTCATGTCCACCATTCCTAAGCATTTTCATCCCGACGAGATCCTTCTCAACCTGTAACACGGACCCTCTCAGAATGAAATGATATGAAATTGTGTGCATGGGATGCAGTTGATCATTTATGACCATTAAATTTTATTTTAATCCTCTTGGTGGGGGTGGAGTCCAACTAGGTCCACTAGGCACGGCGGCCTATTGTAGCCTGCCCCGAGTGATTATGATGATGGACAGTTTGGTGGAATGAAGATTGGCAAGGGAAACCGAAGTACCCGGAGAAACCCCGCCCCAGAGCCACTTGGTCCACCACAAATCCCACTTGACCAGACCCCGGGATCGAACCCGGGCCGCCGTGATGGGAAGTCAACGACTAACCGCTTGAGCTATGGTGCGGCCATTATGACCATTAACTATCTTTGTTTTTGGTTTGTTTAACGATTGTAGGATGATCCGTCAGTGATGAATTAGAAATAATATGCAAGAAATCGATCATGTCCAATGTTAATACCCTGTCCCGGCATTTGCCTGGAGGAAATGGGTCTTGATAGAAGCGCTAATCGCTCGACTGTGGCTTCGGCCGTCAATTTTTTCGCTGTACAATATCCGACAGCATTCAAATTGTGGTCTTCTGGGTTATGACACTCCGTAAATTCGGACAGAAGATTACTCTTTTAATTTCCACAGCTGTGGGAACTTAGAATCTCTTCCAAGGCAGGCATTTTATGGAAAGATCAGACGCGGGTTTTATTTATTAAATTGGGCCGTAGTTGTTTACCTGGAAGTCACCATCCTGACCATTTATTGAAAGAAGAACCCGCGTACAGTTCGTAACCTCAGTGTCGTGGTCTCTGTATTGATTCAAAATAAAGGACAGTGACATGCAAAATAATACGAAACACGCCTGATTTCCTACATTTGCTACCCTGCTTTTCCCA